GATGTCTCCGAACGTCAGTGACAATGAGCTGACCGGACCGGAGAGCAGAGATTAACTACCTGAAACATCTGTTTTGTGGATGTGCCGTGAGGGCACGGAGGCAGCGCCAGGGAACATTTCATAAAGAGAACGACAGTTTAGGATGATGTGTGTCTCAAGCAGACTTTCTCATCCACAGTTCCTGCAGAGGTTGCTAGAGGTTCCCTGTACAATTTCTGTCACTCAGTAACCACTGAAACTGATTTTATTGGGCTATCTGTAAGGAACGGAATTTTCCACTGTCCAAAAATGTAAAGAGGACCATTGACCACTGACCATCAATGTAAAGAGCATCTATACTGTCCACCAATGTAAGGGGCATTCTTACCACTGACCACCAATGTAAGAACCGTTCTTCCCACTGACCACCAATGTAAAGCGCATCCATACTGTCCACCAATGTAAGGAGCACTCTCCCCAAAGACCACCAATGTAAGGAACATTCTCTTGTAAGTAGCTCTCTTCCCACAGACCACCAATGTAAGGGGTATTCTTCCCATTGACCACCAATGTAAGGAGCATCCATCCCACTGACCTCTAATGTAAGGAGCATTCTACCCATTGACCACCAATGTAAGAAGCTTATTCCCAATGAGCACCAATGTAAGGAGCATTCTTCCCAATGAGCACCAATGTAAGGAGCATTCTTCCCAATGAGCACCAATGTAAGGAGCATTCTTCCCACTGACCACCAATGTAAGGAGCATTCTTCTCACTAATCACCAATGTAAGGGGCATTCTTCTCACTAATCACCAATGTAAGGGGCATTCTTCTCACTAATCACCAATGTAAGGGGCATTCTTCCCACTGACCACCAATGTAAGAACCGTTCTTCCCACAGAACACCAATGTAAGGGGCATTCTTCCCACTGACCCCCAATGTAAGGAGCATTCTTCCCACTGAACCCCCCAATGTAAGGGACATTCTTCCCACTGACCACCAATGTAAAGAGCATCCATACTGTCCACCAATGTAAGAAGCATTCTCCCCAAAGACCACCAATGTAAGGAACATTCTCCCCAAAGACCACCAATGTAAGGAACATTCTCCCCAAAGACCACCAATGTAAGGAACATTCTCATGTAAGTAGCTCTCTTCCCACAGACCACCAATGTAAGGGGTATTCTTCCCATTGACCACCAATGTAAGGAGCATCCATCCCACTGACCTCTAATGTAAGGAGCATTCTTCCCACTGACCACCAATGTAAGGAGCATTCTTCCAACTGACCACCAATGTAAGGAGCATTCTTCCCACTGACCACCAATGTAAGGAGCATTCTACCCATTGACCACCAATGTAAGTAGCTTATTCCCAATGAGCACCAATGTAAGGAGCATCCATCCCACTGACCTCTAATGTAAGGAGCATTCTACCCATTGACCACCAATGTAAGAAGCTTATTCCCAATGAGCACCAATGTAAGGAGCATCCTTCCCAATGAGCACCAATGTAAGGAGCATTCTTCCCACTGACCACCAATGTAAGGAGCATTCTTCCCAATGAGCACCAATGTAAGGAGCATTCTTCCCACTGTAATCAGTGATGCCAATTTTCTGCCACTCCTAGTACTGCAGAGCTGGAGATCCAAGATGGCGCTGGCTTCTGTGGGACACACCTCCCAACCTTTTGTGATGGGAAAGATGGACAACTACACAGAATATTCAGGCAAAGCGCACACCCTTTGTCACTCCCATGATGATGGAGAGATAGTCAGTGTCACCAAATCCTTACAACTATACATCAAAAAACAGACCATGCATGAAGCCAAGACCTCGTGTATAGCCAGGGGAAGACCGCAGGGGATAGGATCAAGTATTTATCATATTAGGATTTTTGTTTCCTGAACAGTAAGGCTGAAAAAAAAATGAGTAAAAAGGAAAATATATATATTTATTTTGTTTGTATGTGTTCTTGTGTGGAATCCCCATTAAAATCGTCCATGACATTTTAGATTGAAGTGCCTCCAGATTTTGCATACTTTTAAAGGGTGCCATGACTAATAAAAGGTTGAGAAAA